GGTGGGGGGGCGGGGGGGGGGGGGGGGGGGGGGAGAATAAGAAAATGTTTGCCCAGGGTCCAATCAATATTAAAGACAGCCCTGCTAGTAGGGCCACAAGGAATCATGTAGTAGCCAGAGCTACTAAAGTGCTTTTCAGCGATCTTCCAGGTCCTGGTACTGCACTGTGCTTAGCAACTTTCCCTCTGCTGTGAAAACATAGAAGGTCACTCACTTGGCACAGCAGCCATTGAAAGAATGTCTAGTATTTTTATCAATGAATACAAATGGATGAGGAGCAATGACATTACCAGCCCTGCTCAAGTTGGACCAGTGTAATTAGACATATATATTTATACCTGGAGTTCAGCATTAAACACCTAGGTTTCCCTTTTTTAATCAAAGCAGCATACACTGCAATCCTTTTTGGAATGTAGCATTTTCAGGGCACATTGTAGTTAAAATGCTGGTTGGAATACCAGTGGTGCTGTGCCCACTCCTTCCATGGGCTACCCGTCTGGTTACTTGACCATGGTAGTTTAGTGCTAGCAAAGGCAGCATCACAGCTTACTGTAGTGGGAGGGCCCAGGCATCTCAGGTTCACAGTCTGCCTACTCTCACCACATGATCTCACTGTCAGGTTAGGATCAGTGAAAAACCTGCCAACATTCACACCCACATTCACGCCCATTGACAACTACAGGCAACGTTAGGAAAGGCCAATAACAAAAAAAAGGTCAATGGGTCAATGGGTTTAAATGTGGGCAGGACTGGGGGTGGTTACACCCAAATACAGGCAAGGTTAGAATCAGTCAAAAAAATGTTTTCCAAAATAACACCCACTGGCAACTACAATTCCCATTTTATTACAGTACTGTGCATAAATAGTATTAATAGTTTATTTATCAGTTAACAAAATATAAAGTAAATGAACAGAAGAGAAATCCAAATGAAATCAATATTTGGCGTGACCACCCTTTGCCTTCAAAACAGCATCAATTCTTCTAGGTACATTGGCACAAAGTTTTTGCTGGAACTTGGCAGGTAGGTTGTTCCAGACATCTTGGAGAACTAATCGCAGATCTGTTGTGGATGTAGTTTTGCCTCAAATCCTTCTGCCTCTTCATGTAATCCCAGACAGACTCAATGATGATGACATCAACATCATTGAGTCTGTTTGGGATTACATGAAGAGACAGAAGGATTTGAGGGAACCTACATCCACAGAAGAACAACCTACCTGCCGAGTTTCTAGAATAATTGATGCTGTTTTGAAGGCAAAGGGTGGTCACACCAAATATTAATTACATTTGGATTTCTCTTCTCTGTTCATTTACTTTCCATTTTGTTAATTGATAAAAATAAACTATTGACACTTTTTTTTATTTCTGAAAGCATTGCTACTTTACAGCTTTTATTCACACCTGCCTAAAACGTTTGCACAATACTGTATGTTGCAGCAGCACAGCATATTGAGCGGAAGTGACAGCGCCACTTTCTTAATACTTCCTCTGGATGCTTGGCCAGAGCTGTGTTTTCACAATCCAAGTGATAACACCCCAGACTACACAAAGGTACATTTCTTGAAAATAAGTTTGTTTTTTTAAACTATCACATTTAAAATAGGGACAGGAAGTTATGGTTACAATTAAAAACTATCCTTCAACAAGTGAACAGTTTATTCTAGTATGAGTGATTTTAGAAGTTGCATGGATGATAATATATTGCGGAAAGCACAGTTATTAAAAAATACATGAGAACCCATCATAATAAGTGTAGAGCTGTCTTATTTGAAGCCTTTCCATGAAGATTGAACATTCACAGACAAAGCATATACTGTATATTCAAAATTCTTTGTACAAAATTATCTGTGACCTCTTGCTGCAACAGAGCAGAGCCCCAGGCAAAATCTTTGCTTTGTTAGGAATTTCTAAAGCAATTTGTTAACTACAAAAGTTGGCTTAACATTACTGCATGCTGTGATGGCTTCGATCTTAGCATACCCAGACACTTCTTGGTACAGCCCATCCCTTGTCTAATACATGTCACAGAACCATACATCAATAAATCTGTTGGAAAGCTGCTGCAAATATGACTCTTACCAGACAAGATGTTGATGGACAAATGGCTGATCCCTTCTTGTTTTATTGGAAATAAAAGTAACATAGAGGTAGGAAATTACATTATAACCATGTATATCTACTAAGAAGAACATAACATTTTACAAGAACACTATCACGTAGTGGCAAAACTAATAACCATAGTATAATATATGAGAATGAATGATGCACCTATGTCTGGCTTTGGTAGCGGTTGCACCGTATAAAAGTGCCCCAACTGGTTCTCTGTACTGTTTGGGTAATATGTCTTCTCCTTCCAACTTTAGGAAAGCTGTTTCCATTGGTGTGCTT